TATAGTCTGATTAAAAGAAGTACCGGAAGAATGTTTTGCCAAAAAGCTGGATTATTGTTATTACGTTAGATTCAAATAATTATAAATCATCAGATCCAATTCATTAAATCATTTGACCAAATAAATGAGTTATCCATTTGTAAAATTTTCAAATCAGTTTACGTGTATAATCACCCCGATTGCAAAGCTATTGTTGAGATCATAAATTATATTTATTTTATTTGTACATCTATCCTGCAGGCAAGTTTGCAAATTATTATGGGTGATCTGTATTTAACCTATCCACTACATTAAGACAGTATCAGTGTGGCTGTTTATAGATTGTTTAGTATTATTCTATTCGAATAATATTATTTTTTATTTATTCGGTAGAAAAACATAGTAAATTACAGATTAATCTTATTACTAATTTAGTTCTTATTACAGGTTTCGTATACCAATTTCGTACAATAACTTACCCACCCCACATAATTAGTAAATATTTTTAAAAGGTCCGTTTTTGATAGGGTCTCAAAAACGATGTATATTATTACATTATCATCATTATTACTGTATTATTTATATTTTTATCATAGAATTTTTCTTTTCTAAGAAGCGTAATTTTTACAAAATTAATACGTAACTCATAAAGTAACTCCGTTTGATTGTGTTAAATATATATTATACTGTATATCTAAATATATAATTTATTTATATACTGTTTAATCAAGTGGTCGTACGATCTACAAGAGGCTGCGTTCATAAAGGTTACCCGATACGTACCCGGTAATGAATATCGTGTTTGTGGAGTTAGAATTTCCTTATGTTGTTAAATTGTAGATTAGTACCCTGTTCGCCGTTCCAAGTCACGAGTTTTCTTATTTTATTTTATTTAGTTATTATTTATTATTATCTTTTTATTATATCTGTATATACTCATGCCCTTGTTTACATTAAGAACCATGGTAGCTACGCATATAAACATTAAAATGAGCAGTTGGGGCTAAGGTGTATATTCGAATAAGCCATAGATTAGTAAGATGAGCAGTGTGGCTTCGTGTCACCATAGGATGGACGTAGCAAAGGAATAAGCAACTACTCATACAGATATCAGCGCCTTTATCATACTTAGTATCGCCTTCGCGAGTAAAATTGTATAAATATAGGTCCTTTCGCCTTCCCAAAAGGACCAGTTACGAAATAAGTTACCAAAATACTGTTCTAAATAAAGAACTCACTAAACTTTATCTTAAACATCTCTGAAACTTCCCTAACACTAAATTACATTAACATCGCTAAATAAGTAAACGTTTCTCTATCACCCTAAATTGACTTTGTATATAAGTATACGCTGGGTCTCTTATTTAACATAAAGGAAGTAAGCATTGAGGTTGAATAGACCTTTCCCTGAATAAATAGGAGCCGTATCTTATATAGTTATAAAGTATAATATACTTAAGAAAGACCGCCTATAGGAATATTATTGCAATCGATCAATTACGTAGAGATTAAAAATATCTTTAAGACTCACGCCACTCTTAATTAAATCAATCCCGATCATCTTTAAACTACTACCCCTTCCGATTAATTACTATCGACCTAGCCAAATATAGTATATATAGAATCCTACCGATAATAATTCCCCTAATAGTAATTAGATAACTATACTATAGATGTGCCATTTATGATATCTGATTTTTTTTCGCGTACAGTACGTACAGTACGTATAGTTGTATAGTGTGTATAACATACGTAATACACATAATAGGGGTTGTTCCATACACAATAGAGTCTACACAAATTGTAGAGTTGAGTACACTAATAATTTAAGTATACTAATAATTTTATATTTTTTGAAGTCATATAATAAATATTAAATTTTAATATAAACAAATTATATAATATATAGTTAATTAAAATAAAATAAATAATTATAGTGATAAATCGGGTTTTATTAATAATTTATTTTACAAAAATAATTTTGTTTTAATTTATAATCACTTAATTTAAGTTAAATTATAATTTAAAAAAGCAAATTATAATATATTATTTGAGATATTTATTATATAATACATGTTATTACTTAGACTAAAATTTATAGCAATATGCAAATTAAATATTTTATTATTATTTCAATTTACAACTTATTTAATATTATTTAGATTTAATTATTTGAAAGATTAAAAAATTAATAAATAGTATACTATTATTATATCAATTTCAGATTTATTAAAGATTTAAAATTTTTATAACATTTTCTAAAATATTAAAATATAAAATAATTTAATTATTAGTAATCTTTAAAATATAATAAGTTATAATTAAATATATGTATTTAAATAATTATACCTTCTAAAAATTATATTTTAATACCTAGCTCTTGTTTAAGTTTTAAAATTTCTAATTTTTCTTTTTTAAGCTTTAATTCTCGTTCTTTTAATTTAATTTTTTTTCTTTTAAAGAAAGTATTTTTTCTTCTTTTTCTAAATCAAATTCAGCTAATGCATTAGTTAAATCTTGTTAATTTTTAATTTGTTTAAGTTTTTTTTGTTTATTTTATTTTAGTAGATAATTCTGCTTGATTAAAAGAATTAATTTTTTTTTTTACTACAAAATATTTAATATTTATTATTAAGTTATTTATATTAATTTTAAAAAAATAAAGTTATCTGATCTATTAATAGCTTGCTTTTCACATGCTACTACTTCAAAATTTTTTTAGTTTTTCGAATTCTTTATTGTTTATGAATATTACATATAATAAAATTTTGATCATCATATTGTTTAGCTCTAATTAAAATAATAATTTAATAAATAATTTAATAATACTAAATTATATATTAAAATTTTAAATTACTTATATTAAAATTGCATTTTCAAGTAATAAAAATTTACTATCACAATTTATATTTGAATGACATGCTTTAGTAATATTAGTATTAACTGAAGCATTATACAAATATTTTTTTTAATAAAAAAATATAAATAATTTAATAAGTCTTTAATCCTAAAAATTGAATAGAATGTAATCCAATCTAAAAATTTAAAAATTAAATTATATATTATATAAAAATTTTATATATATATATATATAAAATATTATTAACCTTTAATATTTGATTTATTAAATTCTTTTAATATTTAAAAAATTTCTTTAACTTTTTCAATTATATTAGCATTTGAAAATTTATATATTAACTATTTAATATAATTTGAATAATTATTATTTTTAATATTTCTAAAATTAAAAAAATAAATATATATATAAACTCTTCTTAATAATCATTTGAACCAAACTTTTCAAAAAGTTGAACTACAGAAAAACAATATAGTTAATATATTAAACTTTATAAAAACTTTTCTAAAGTACTGTACACACATAGTTGAACATTAAAATAGAGTTAAAAAAGAAGTTGCAGCTTTGTAATGACAGTTTAAATTCATTTTAGAACTATAGAAGAAGTAGTCGGTAAAAGTCAAAACTTTTTATCAAGTAAACAACAAAGTTAGATATATTAGTTCTATACAACTGTAAAATCTACAAGAAACACCTATAAAGATCAAAAACTTATAAAAGCTACAAAGTTCACCTTTCGTCTTTACTTTGCTTCAAAGAAATTTTGTAAAAATTGGTAATTTAGCTTACCTCTTTCTAAAAATCAACATATAAAATTACCAAAACAGTTAGCAGTATTTATTTTCTAAATGGGTTTGTTAACAAAATAGATTAAAAACAATACAGTAATACAAACATAACTATACACATGTCTTGAAATACTGCCTCTGAACTAACTAGTATTCTATACTGACTCTCTATAATTAAATCAAAGTTTTTTTCTTTCCTATATTGTTTTTTGTTAAATAATTTAAGTAAATAGAAAAATAGTAGAGTTATTTCTATTTAGTATAGTTTATAATTTTTAAAGACTTGATACAAGCATACAATTGTGACCATTTGATATTTGTGAATTGCAAGTTTTATATATTTCCTTTTTTCTTGTTTATTCTCTTTCCTTCTTTATTTCTTAATTTATATCTTTTATTGTTTATCCCTATACTTCTGTTTTGTTTTTTACATAAAAAAAAAATTTTTTTATTTTTTACTTTTCTATGAAAAGATGTTATTAGATTGATGATATTTTATTTTAGGGTAGTAGTTAAACAAGCAGTCTACTTTAACTGGAATAGTGCAACTGATCATACTTAAATACCATTTGGGTGACTGAGTAATACTAGACTTATATATCAAAAAAATTCTATATAATTTGTATAATTTCAAGAATTCTAATAAAGTACTAACATAACTGCTAAAATTAAAAAAAAAATTTATATATTAAAATATAAAATATTAATTTTGTATAAAATTAAATTAAATTTATTAAACTTATTTACCTATTATAATAAATTTTATAGCTTTTAAAAATATAAAATAAGTATTCTTCCTATATAAGATTTGGATAAATTTTATTAAGTGTAAGTTCAAGACCTTTTATTTGAGCTTAATCTAAATTATCAAAAATACATTTTTATCCAATTTTATTAATATAAAAATTTTTAAAATAGAATTAGTTAATTAGTAAATCCATTTAAATAATACACTAAACATTTATTAATATGCTATAAAATTTGTAATATTTGTAAATATTTGTGTATATATTAATGCTTAATAATAAATTATAAATTAAAAAATAAATTATAAATTAGAAAATAAATTATATTAAATATAAAATATATATAGTATATTAAATAAATATTACCAATTTTAAAGTTTTCATTATAATAATTTACTTTAAGGTCATTTATATTTCCTTGAATATGTTCAAATACTATATTAATTTCAAAATATTTAAGAGATTTTCATATTTTAGCTTGTATTTTAAAAATATAAATTATCATAATTTGTCCATCAGCAAATACTCCTATATAAATATTAAATAATTATTATAATTATATATTAATAATTAAAATAAATTTAATTTATTTACTTGCTTGTTGAACATAATTATCATATTCTTTTTTTTTTATATATTATAAGTTAAATCAAGAATTTCTTGTCTATAAGAATTTTGTTCTTTTTGAACTTTAGAAACTAAATACCTTAATTTATCAATATTATTAAGTAATGCATATACTTCTAAAAGATAATTAGTTCTGAAAGTAGCTTTAATAAGATTATCTATTTATAATATAGTATATATTAATAATTTTATTATTTATTATTAATTATTATAATAATATAAATTACTTACTAGATATTAATTTTCTTAGAGAAATATCTATTAAATCATCATTTACTGTTTTAATTTTAGTTTTTAATTTATTTATAATTTCTTTCAAAACTCTTTCAGAAAGTAGTAATAGATGTTTGTAAATACCTTTACTAACTAATATAATATATAGTGTTTTTTCTAAATTATATAAAATATATTTATAAAAACAATGTTACAATTTTTTTTAATAATTTTTCTTTCTTCAATAACACTATTTGAATCTTTATGTAAAAAACTTAAATAATTTAAATAAAATTAATAAATATAATTTAATAAAATAATATATAAAATATTTACTAAATAAAATTAATAAATATAATTTAATATAATAATATATAAAATTTGAAACTTAGTATATATATCAGAACTCTCTCCAATAATCACTCAGACATAAAATCAATGAAAAAAGAAATTACTTTTTGCACAAATAGCAATAGAAAATACTCTAAACAATACTAAAAAAAGTAATAGCAACAAAGAAAATATCAAATAAGCTTAAAAGCAAAAAGCACTGCAAATATTAGCAAGATAGTTATAGAAGAAAACTAATTTTTTTTATAGAAATTTTAGCAAAAAGTGAAAATTTTGGATGATTGCTAGTAATCCTATATATAAATTTGTTTAGATTACACAAACAACACATACAGTCTAGGCAAATCAAACATATATGTAATATCAGAATAGAATAAGATAAACAAGCCATTTGTAAACAAACAAATAAGATATAACAAGAACATGTGATAGAACATCCTAGAAGAATAGAGTTAAAAAAATAAATAAAAATCTTCTTAAAAAGTACAAAGAAATTCTACAAGCACTTTTCATAAAAAAGCATATAGGGCCATGAATAGTATACATAACAAAATTTTATTTAATGAGACAGGCAAAACATACATAGTACCAGATAGAAAAGACAAAATTGTTGCAATGCTTACAAACTAAGACCCAAATAAGGTGGTTCTTTTACAACTAACAAAAGAAATTATAGAAAAAACTAAGAAAGAACAGCTGAAGAAAAACTAAACATAAGTATAAAAAACTGAGACTTGGCAATAGAAGCAGAAAGAAGACAAATATAGTATAACCAAAATAAAAAACAGCAAATAATAACAAAAAAAATGAAGAAGAGATTATCAAAGAAAAACAAAGAAGAAAAACAAATATAGAAGAAAGAACTGAAAATATAGAAAGACAAGAAGAAGCAAATATATTACAAAGAGAAGAACAGATAGAGGTAAGTATAGAAAGAAGTAATAAACTACCAGTTGAATCTCTTATTCAGAAGCAAGAAACCAAAAAACAAAAAGATATAAGTGAACAAGAAGATATAAAAATGAATAGCAAGCAATCAAGACAAATTATGCTAAAAGAAAAAAGAAAAAAACAAAAAAGAAGAAAACAAGAGACAGAAAAAGAAATTAACATAGTAGAAATAGCATTAGAACAAAGTATATAGGCATCAAGCAGAAGAGTCTGTAATCAAAACAATAGCTTAATTGCCAATATACCAGAATATGATGTTTTTGGAAAAACAAAAAAGAAGCATATAAAGTTTATTAGATGGTATTTAAAGAATAATATGCATGTGAAAGATATCAAAGAAGTATTCAAGAGAGGAAATCTTAGGATAAAAGTAGTCTTTAACTGTAACTATAGCAGAGATGAAGTCATACAAAGAATTAGCAAGAAAGAAAGTAACTGATACAAAATGATATCTAAAAACGAAAAAAAGAAAAAAAACAAAAAAGAAAAACAAAATGACTATGAAAGAAAACAACAAAATAAAGAAAAATATATACCAAGTTCTAAAAAAGAGAAGGTTAAAGAAGATGAAAGTAAAAAAAAACAAACAATAATGAATATGAAGAAGAGAAAAGATTTATCAATAATATGACTTATCTAATGATCTGGGACTTACCAGCTAATATAAACAAAAAAGAAGTAGAGTATATTTGCTAAAGAATCAAAAACATGCAAATAGTGTGCATTAAGAAATTTAAGTACAAAGCTTTAGCAGTAATACAAACACAAAGCATTGAAGAAGAAGACATTCTATGGTCACTGCCAGCAGACAATAACAAGTTGATGAAAATAACAAAAGAAAGAGAAGATTATGAAGCAAGAAAAAGACAAAAAAAAACATATAACCAAACTGACAAAATTATCTGAAAATGCTTTAGAAGTTTTATTACTACAATGCTTAAGAAGTAAAGAAACAAAATCAGTATACATTTCACCAAACCAAAATGGAAACCAAAAGAGAACAGCATTAATTATGTTTGCAACAGAGGAAGACATGAAGGCAGCTCAATCAAAACCAATTATATACAACAATTTTTGAGTATACTGGGTTAATGAAAAAAAAAAGAGCCAAAAAAAAGAGAAAGTTTCAAAGATGAAAGAAGAAGAAGCTGAGATAGATTAAATCAAATCTATAATGCAAAAGAAGATAAAAGTAGAGAAAGAAACTAATAAAACAAAAGAAATGAGTGAAAAAACCTAAAATCAAAAGCTTAAACAATAGAAGAAAGAAGTAACAGCCTAAGACATAATACTAAAAACCAAAAAAGATATAGAAGTATAGATAATAAGAAAGAAGAAAGCTTGAAAGAAAAGAAAAATAAGGACAAGATACAACAGTAAGAAAAAAACACATATATAGAAGATATACTAGGCTGAATCTTAGAAAAACTAGAAAAATTAGAGAAAGTTGGTAACTTGACAGAGAAAGACATAGTGAAATGCTCCTAAAGGCATCTTAATTAAATTTATAGATATAGATAAGAAAATAGGAGAGTTCTTACAAGATAAAAGAAGAATTTTTGAAAATAAAAAAGAAAAAACATATTCTCATTTAAAAGAAAAAAAGTAAGAAGAGTAAAGAAAAAAAAAAAAATAAAACAGCAAAAATAGTACAAAAACAATTAAAAGAAAGATGAAAGAAAAGAAGAAAGGAGATCAAGATAACATGTCACAATGTTAATGAACTCAAAACCAAAGGATGAAAACTTGATAGTCTGTTAGGCTGAAAGAAAAAGAAGAAATCACAATACTAGGTATTACAAAAACAAATTTTACAGAAAGAGAAAGAAAAATTCTTAATGTAGATAGTAAATAGGAAATATGTAAAATTTTGGTCAAATGTAGCAAAAACTAAAAAGAAAGGATTGGGTATAGGCATTATAATTAACAAACAATGGAAGAAACATATAGGTGCAGTCAAAAAAATAAATGAATATATAATAGAGCTTATACTATATTTCAAGCAATTGGAGTTAGTAGTTTTGAGAATTTATATATTGCCAAATAACAAAGCAATAGGAAAAAGCATTCAACAAAAAATAATAAAAATAATTATTAAAAAGAAAAGACAAATACAAATAGTTATTTTGAATAATTTTAATTAGACAGTAAAAAATATATTGAACAGACAACATCTACAAGCAGCAAATTTCAAAAAATTGCTGATTTTTAATTAGATAAAAAAACAAAACTTTAGCGATAGTTATAGAGATATGCATCTAACAAGACAAGAATTTACATGGTCAAATGAAGAAGCAACAACAAGAATTGACTACATATAGATATCAGAAGAACTGGCCTTAGGTCTACAGAAAGCAGAAATCGAGAATGTAGAAGGAATTACTAAAAGTGATTATAAAATAGCAAAGCCAGAAATATGGATTAAACATATAACAACAAGAAATAACAAAGCTGAAATCAAAAGAAAAAAACAATTAAGAACAGTATATTATATAATTAAGCAAAAGAAGAAAACTGAGAAAAGTATATACAAGAGCTGCAGAAATAGTTAGAAGTCAAGGAGGTACTAAAGAACATTCAAAGGAAAGAAACAAACAATATAAACAGCATATAGGATATATTAGAAGAAGAAATTATTATAGCAACAAACAAACATCTGCTTAAGAAAAAGATATATAATATACTAACAAATAGAAGAAACAACCAAAAGAAATAATACCAAGAAAGAACATTGTAGAGATGCAGTGATTGATTAAATATGCAAAAACAAAGAAAGGTCAAAAAGTAACAAAAAAGAAAGAACTGAAATAAATGAAAAATTATGAATAATAGGAGGAAAAAGAAGTGCAAAATTATCAAAATTATATAGGTAATGGTCGAAGGCCTGAATAGAAGACATGAGAGGTTGGCAGAAATTGTTACAAAAGAAAAAGAAAAAAAAATAAGAACAAGATCAAAGAAGACAAATAGAAGAAAACATAGACAAAAAATGTGAAATAATTAAATTAGATTAAGAGAAAATGATAGTCAGTTTGTTAAACAAACCTTACAAAAAAATAATACTTGACAGATTCATTAAACAAGAAGAAGAATAATGAACTTAATAGTAGAACCAGAGTTAGTTTATATTGGTATAGCAGAACATTACAAGTAACAATTCAAAATAAGAAATGCAAAACTAAAAGAAATGTTAGAAAGTGAAAAGAAGTTTATAAGCCACAAGAACACATTTAAGAGGAATGGTATATGAAATTAGAAGAAAGCATCAAAGAAAAGAATAGAAAGAAGTACTAAGAAAACTTAAAATAGAAACAGCTCCAGGCATATCAGATATAAGCTACATACTAATCAAACAAGCAGGAAAGAAAATACAAAAAGTTTTTAGAGCCTTTACTAATCTTTGTTTAGAAATAAGAGAAATATCAACCAAGTGAAAAATTGTACAAGTTTATGCAATAACAAAAGACATAAAGTAGGGATATAGCTTAAATAATATTTATTTAATAGCTTTGATTAAAACATTTAGAAAAGTAGTAATAAAGGTAATAACAAAAAGGCTTGTCAAGGTGTTTATAGAAAGAAAAGTGCTCAAAGAACCAAACTATGCAGGTTTACCAGAAAATTCAACAGAGCAGCCAGTATATATCCTTAATATAATAATGAAAGAGACAAAAGAGAAAAACAAAGAAGATGGATATTTCTACAAGATATAAAGAAGGCATTTAACTTAATTCCATTTAAAAGTTTTGAAATAGCTTTCAAAGAGTCAAAATTTCTAGAAGAATGATAAAATACATCTTAAATATTTTTTACAAAAGACAACTAAGGATAATTACAGTCTATGGCTTAACAGAAAAAGTAACAATAGATGACAAAATAGATTACGAAGAAATAATATCACTATTAATATGGCATCTCTTCTATAATCCATCATTAGTAAGAGTACAAGAAGACAAAAGTTTAGAATATACAGTTGAACAACAAATTAAAGAAAAAATGCAAAGCAATGATATTTAAAGATTTTACCAAGCAACAATTGCATATGCAAATGATACAAAATGGATTGCAAGCAGCAAAGGCCAGCTATTAAAGATCTTAGAAATAGCTAAGGAGTTTTTTAAGATGAATGACATAGAGATTAATAAGTCAAAATCAAAGCTGCTAGTAATGAACATGAAGATTAGAAAAGAAAAAAAAAAAGTAACTTTTGGCAAAAGTAGTATAAGAGAAGAATTAAGGAACAAAATTGTGTGGTTACTAGAAATATGATTGAACAAAAGAATACAAGAAGTATTAGTTAAAAGAAAAACTAAAGGAATAGTTCGTCAGATGATAAAAGACCTCAAATACAAAAAGATGACAACAAGCCAAATAGATTAATTATATAAACAATATAGTAATAATTCTAAAACTAAGCTATATGCTCTAGTTAACCAAAATTTCAGAAAAGAAAATACATGAAATACATTAACTAATAATATGTCTAGTAAAGCAAAAAAGCAATTTATAAAAAACATTAGAAAATTGCATAATAAAACATAAAGATCTTAGTATATGTAGAACACTACAACAAAAGGTTTAACAGAGAATATTTGGAAGTTAGAAGAAATATCAGCTAACAAAGTGTATTAGAAGAACAACTTAGCATGTCTGACAGTAATAAAAACAAGAGAACTAGAAATAAGCATAAGGGCTAAAAATAACCTATAGAGAATATTTAGATATAGTATCAAAATACAAGAACTGTTAGAAACATGTTTGTAGAAAAAAAGTAGAATAAAGATAAATGAAGAAGGTTTAAATTACCTAAACCAACTATTTGATACAAAAGGTAAGAAACTAATTACTTGGCAACAATTTAAAAACTTTAGTAGATGTTCAAGTAAAGGAAAAAAAGCAGAATAGTTTAAAGAAATAAAGTCCAAAATACTTGAAGCACCAATAAATAGAAAAATTAAAAAGCACTTTAAGACAAACAGACATAATACTTAAGTAATAAAGACAGAATGAAAGATCATATCAAAAGATAAAAGGAAAAAAGAGTGGATAATATATGATACACAAGACAATAGACAGTTAAGAAAGATAATAAAGAAGAAAAAGAAAAAGGTCCTACTAGAATATTGGCAAATGTAAGATAAGGAAAAGTAATAGCAACAGAAATTAGCAAATGCAATGGATGCACAGAAGAAGAAGAATAGAAAGAAGGCAGCTGCTAGCAATAGATAAGAATAAATAACAAGATTAGGGTAATCTCTTACATATCAATAAAAAAGAGAGATAACAAGATCAAGATAGCGATAGACCAGTTAATAGAAAAGATAGAAACAGAAAAGCTGAAAGATAATGAGCAGAAACTTGAAGAGCTGATAATAATAAAAGAGCTAGAAATAGAGATAATCAAATGACTGAAACTAAATGAGAATGTTAACCAAGAAATTTTGAAGATATTAAGAAGAAACTTTTTGAAAAACAAAAACAAATATATTATATATACAGATAGTGTCACAAATATAAAAAGCAAAAAAAAAACACAATGCAAAAACATGAGTATAAAATGGATCCAAACAAACAAAATGCAAGAGTGGCCAAAAAAAGAAACATCATTAGAACTAGAAAGATGAATAACATTAACAATAGCAGAGTTAGTAGCAATATGAATAGCAATTTTAACAATACTAAGATAAAGACAAGTAGAAATATATACAGACAGTAATGCTTCAATAAGAAATATTAGTAGAAGTTTAAAGCAAATAGATAGAATGAAAATTCTTAAAAAGAAAAATTTGATATGGATAATAAAAATTATAGATCTTATTAACACAAAGAGTATATAGATAGAGTTAATAAAAGTTAAAAGTCATAGCTAGAACAAGTGGAATAACAAAGCTGATAACCTTGCAAAAAAGGGAACAATAAGTAAAAAAGTAATACAAATAAAAAAAGTCAGTTGTAAAGAGATAGAGTACTGCCTAGAGTGGGAAAACAGATGAACTGATATATAGCAAGATTGTTATGCAAATTGGTAACAAATGCAAGATTAGGAACAGAATAGAAAGAAACAAATGCAATCAGAAAATTAGAACCCAAAACAAAATTATGATTCATAACTGAACATAATTTTGAAAAAGACTAAAAATGACTAAAGGAATGCATTGTACAACAAGAAGAAGTAGTACAAAAAGATGTGCATTTATAAAGTTAATGATATATAAACTTCCAGTCTTAGAAGAACTTAATAGAAGAAGACCAGATGTATACACAACAACAAAGTGCCAAGTATGTCAAAATAAAGTTAAAGAAACACAGTTACATCTAGCATTATACAAAAGACAACAGAACCTCTAAAGATGAATCCAAAAAGTGACTATCACAACAGTCTGAAAAGGGTTAAAAAAAAGAAGAAAACACTCATAACCAACCATATGTACTATATATAACACTTTTCAGAAAAAGTAAAGTAGAAAAAATAGAGATGAATGAAGCTTTAATTAAAGGTTTAATCTTGAAAAAGACACAAAACAGACTAACACAGCTTTTAAATACAAAGGCAAGGCAATAGTTTATAGAAACAGTAGCAAAGACAGCATAGGACACATTATATAAACAAGTTTGAAGAATATAGTGTGAAAAGATCAATAAATAGGTGAAGAAAGAAGGCATAACAACCAAAATGAAGAAAAAGGAAGTAAAGTAAAAGAATTCAAAGAAGAAAAGAAAAGCAAATTAGCAAAAGATCAAAGAAGAAAAAAACAAGCAAAAGAGAAAAAGGATAGAATTAGTGAAGAAATTAGGAAAACAATGTTAGAGCTTATCATGAAAAGAAGAAGACCCTTTCATTACAAATTTTAAGTAGTTAGACAAGTAGCCTACTTTTGTTTGAAGTAGTGCAACAAGTTGCACTTAGGTACCTATAGATGGTCAGGTGATGCTAGACTTAGTTGTTAGGTAAATTTATGTAATTGCAAAAGTAATTTCAAGAATCTTAATAAAGTACTAGCATAACTGCTTAAGATTAAAAAAAAAAAAAATAATAATAATATATAAAATATTTATCATATTTTATATTATATAATTTTGTAAAAAGAATAACTAAACATAAATTTGTATCATTTAATAAATTAATCTAAAATAAAATTTATTAATTAATAATATATAAATATAAATTAATAAATTAAGTAAAAATTTATAATACTGGTTCATTTTTGAATAATTTATTAAATAAAATTAAATTAATATCTTTTTTTAATACTTAAAAATATATATATATATTTTTTCTACCAATGATTACAATCAATAGACTATTCATTAAATGCATTTGCAGTATTTTTTAATTATTTTTGTACTACAAAATTATTATAACATCTGCTTTTATTATAAGAACATTTTAATTTTTTTATTGCAAAACATTTTCTATTAATATTAAATAAATAATTAATTAAATTAATATATATTAGCAAAATAATTATAAAATTTAAAATTTTTTAACTTAAGTATATGTTTTAGCCTCTTTAGTTTTTTGTAAAAATGAAATTTTATAATTTTATTAAATTAAATCTTTGCTTATTTTAACTTTAGTATGATTTAAATTTTTAATTAAATTATTTAAAAACATACAATATTTTATACCTATATATGTTTTGTAATATTTTTATAGTATAATTTAAATAAAGACATAAAATTAGTTTTTCTTCCTTACCTATTGGTTTTTCAATCATATATTGTATTTTAAAATAAATATTTATATAAAATGTAAAAATTTATATTTATATTTAAAATTTTAATTTTAAAATTTAAAATTATTTATATTTTTAAATGCTGCTTCATATGATTTTTAATTTTCTATATTATAACAAATAGCAATGCCTTCAGAAGATGTAGATGAATATTTTATAGAAAAATTGTATGCTGAATATCATTTACTTATAAATTTTTAGTTATTAAATAAATTTTATTATAATTAATATCTTCAATATTATTATAATCAATATCTTCAATATCATTATAAATAATATCTTTAATAGTTGCATTATTAAAATCTTCATGATCATTATAATTAACTTCTTCACTAACAATATAATCAGAATTTTCAATATTAACTTCTTTGATATTAATATAATTAGAATCTTTAATATTATAATTAAAATTTTTAATATTTTTATAAATAATATTTAATATTATAATAATTGTTATATTACCTATTAAAGACTGTAAAGACATATTAGTTTGTAAACTTAAATTTACACTTTTTGAAGTTTGTTGGTTAATTATATTGTAATTAATATTATTGATATTTTTAACTTCATTCTAAATAAAATTAAAATATAGTTAAATAAATTATAAAATATGTATTTATATAAACTAATTTTAAATTTATTATATAAGTTATACTAACTTTGAAATCATTACTTTGTAAACTTTCAGAACTTGATATTAAATTAATTATTAAAATATTGTCAAGTTCATTATTTATATAATTTTCTTCACTATTTGAATTATTATTATCTGATTGTATTTTAATATACATAATCTTTTAAAATTTAAATAAATAAAATTTTTAATATAATATATATTATAAAGAAAATTAAAAATAAAAATTTACCTTTTGTCATTTAAAGTAAAAAAGAAAATATGCTTTTACTATGCATAAATTTTGACTCTAATATATTGTTAATTTTGACTCAATCAATAAATTATCAATTTTTATTTATATTTATTAATTTAATTTATCACTATAGTAATGTCTCGCCATCTTAAACAAACCAATTAGAATATAAAATCAGATGCAACAAGAAATCGTAGCCAATATAAAAAATTATTTGTAACTTAAGAACTTGCCTATGAAACACCTCTTAAGTTCTAATTAAAAAAATTTCTTGTAAAATTTTGAAGTAGAAACACTACTAAAATCCCATCTAATTCTAATATAATACTGACTTTAACCTTAAACCAACATATTATTATTATTGTCATTTGTTTCAATATTATACAGGATCTTATGATTAATGATACATTATATAATAAAAAAATTATAAAATCCATTAATTTAAATTTATTCATATTAAAAAATCTTTTTAACAAATACATATTTATTTATTTTAAAAATGAAATAACGGAGTTTAAAATATAAAATTATTTTAATATATTAAGTACTATTGTTATAAATTTAAATACTAAAAAGACTAATTAAGATTAAGAAACGATAATACCAAGAATTATATTTTTTCATGATATATCCTTAAATATGTCATATTACAAATACATTCTTGTATTTAATAGTAATTTCAGTTAACTTATGATAATAGAATTACACTTATTAACAATTGAGTTATAATCAATAATAGTTATGCAAAACAATAATTGCTTCCAAGTAGGGATGATAAAAAATTTTTTACCGTTTTAAAACATGTGATGTTTATGGTTTGAGAATGCAGATCATAATCATCGCATGTTTTAAAATGGTTCAAGTATAGATTGTTACACAAACCCTGCATAATAAATTATATTTTATGCATACTATAAAACTGCGCAAACTATACTTCACATGATGTGTAGACTCAATTGCGAAAAGGTATAATCACATAATAGATGTACCATTTATAAATCAATTATATGCAACATTGTGCAAGGAATAATTTTTGTTAGAATGCGAAAGACAGTTTCATAATCAAAATTTTGAGATAGGGATACTTTAATGATTTGTTCTAGAATATTCTAAATTTTTTTTTGCGTACTGTACAGGGTTTAAAATTGGCATGCACAAGATGCACATGTGCATGAAATTTTTTGGGATTTTTTTGAATTTTTTAAAAATTTATTAAGTGTGCATGTAAAATTTTTAAAAAAAGATGCACAAAATACATTTGTGCATGTAAATTTTTTTTTGAATTTTAAACACTGGTACTGTACTGTACGCGGCACATCACTAAACTATACTAAGGATCACGTTAACTATTGGACCTAAACTGTGCAACGTTACCCGCTCTCCCGGTTTACAATAGTAGAAAATCCCGGGCTGCCGGCCAAAAAGCTATGGGTCGTAGTACTGTATATCAAAAATTCTCTATATATATTCATAGGCAGAAGTTTGTCTGATTGGCTAATAAATTCAATTTAATTTTACATTATTTATACAGTTTAGAGTACTTTTTAAAAAAACGAAAACTAATCATAATGAAATAAAAAAAACTCTATAGAAGGTTTCTTTAGAGCAGTAGACTTCATAATCAAAAATAAGATCTAATTCTCGTCCGTTTAAAAAAGTTGGTGTAGTAATAAATTCTCAAAACCCAAACGAATAATAATTAGATCTTATTTTTTGACAATGGAGTCATACAGCCAGAAGCAACTGGACTGGACTGCATTGGACTTATAAAATTACTATGTCCAGTTGTCCAATGGCGCAGCATTGGACTATGTCCAGTGTGGTCCAATTGACAACCCTGCCTACAGCTCTAATGAAGCCTTTTGTATAATTTTTTTTACTTTTTAAAACTGTATAAATAATGTAAAATTAAATTGAATTTATTAGCCAATCAGACGAAATTCTGCCTATGATATATATCTAACATTAACAATCGTGTCTTGAGGTCGGAAGTTAGTCATCATAATAAATTTTTGTTATTTACGTTTTTTACAATTTCTTATGTTTTTCGCATTTGGCTTGTTACACGAGATCCTGTGATTTTATTGGATCCGGATAGGGTCAGAAGTGATCTTCAGCGATCTTCAGCCCGGGATTTTCTTGACATAAAAAGAGGTTGATTATCTTTAGTGCTGTAGTGGTAGATAAGGATTCACTAAAAGAGGTTGATTATCTTTAGTGCTGTTAGTAGTAAAATAATCCTTATAATCGGTTATTCGCAAATTGAATGAGATGCTATCACTATGAATAATTTATTTTTAAAAGTTGTAAATTTTTTTTTTAAACCTTCAAATGCCTTTTATTTTTTTCTTTTCCGAATGTAACACAACGATAAATAGTAAAAATTTTATTATTTAGATGCATATACAATATAACTTTATTTGTAATTTTAAGTAAGTGCAGTCCGTTAAGTACATTATGTGCTTGCGATAATTACAATTTTAGAATGTCCTCAATTACATTATTCTAATAAACATTAAATCCTAATTATTGATCATGCTTAATGATCATAATTTCTAGTTTTCTTGTTGATTGGTGTTTGTGAAGGGTTTCCAAATGATCCTCCTTTCTCACCAGCCCGTTCCAGATTCTTTCTTTTTCGATTTCTGTGGGCACGTGAATGTGCAAGCGAGACACTATTCGTATGCTCACAAATAGTATTCAACGTGACCTAAAATTAGGTGAATCTAATAAGTAACAGCAAAATTCTTTATATTACCAATTGTAGTAATGATAAGACCATAATACCTGCAAATCCTTGAAAAGTACATAAAAACTTTCGAGTACCGACAGGGTTTTAAGGGTGTTTGGCATCTTTAAATGAGAGATACCACCGAGCCGTAGTAAATTCGTCGCTTTGCAGTCCATCCCGTATACGTTATGAACCCATCCTTAACAAGAAACAAAAAAAATCATTAGTTAATACAATTTCCTTACTACAATTTTTTCTTCCGCTTAATTACCCCATGAGTGTATTCCAAAGACAAATGTAGAATGAACGTCAGAACTAGGTGCTTTGGAATTCTCTTTGAAGAACGTGTATAAAATATCCCGCATTGCCACGCTTAGATCAACTTTGTCTTCGTGGATTTTTTTTTGATGAGGTTCTGGTAATCCGCCACTTCTGAGACCTATGAGAGCCTCAAGCCTATTAATGCTTTTTTTCAATATTCCTCGAAAATCGCACTTTTGACCAACACGAGCTCTAAGAACAACGGAACGACCTTCATTTCGGCGACAAGCTGACGCCCAACAGGCAATTTCCCCACTATAAAATTATGTAAAATGGAATGTTATTACATAAAATTGGACTGGTCATATTACTCATCTATACGTACCCATCCATTTTTAGCTCCTCCTTATTTAAAAATCTTTTTGCAAGCATGTTTGGAAATGCGTTGTCGAAGTCAGCTTCGGAAACGGGAAGATCAACCCTTTCCAGATTTTCAGCACTACGTGTGCAAGAATTGACCGTAAGTAAACAAAATATTCTTAACTACATTTTGTTTCACTCACTACATGACAACAGCCCGTCTTAAAATGGCAATAACATTCTTCTCCTCATCACTAAGTTCTACTTTTCGAATCGTTTCGATAATTTCCGGGGTTAATCTATCGATCGCATTGACGATATCTTTATTGTCTTCTTTTGTAGCCTAAATCATTAGAGTCAGCAAAATTTTTTAAATGCCGAAACAAGACACATATTCCTTTTAACTTACCTTTTCAACTTCATGAAAAAAATACTCCACCACGTCAAGAAAATCCGATTCGATCAATTTAACTTCATTATTGAAGCTTTCAACCATTTCCTCCCAGTCGTTCGTCGAAAAAAGAGACTTGATTTGGGTGTTATCAGTCAAATCAAGTATATTCCAATATGCAAGACTATACATAAAAAAAACTATAATTAAAAGTAATCATCACCAACGTTCATGTTATCTACCAATAAACCTACTTTAAACATTTTTGAGACTCGGGAATCGTCTTGACATAACTTGTCAATTTCTCTCCAACATTTGTACCGCTACGGAGGATCCACGGACGCTGAGAAGTCGATGTTATTGGCTTGGATTCTTCTATACGTTCCACGAAGCTAATATGATTAATATCATTGCTGGTAACGCCGTTACGAAGCTTTTCATAATTTCCCCTGTTCATAAAGAACTTATCAATTTCATCTGCGGACTCCTCTTCATCTTCTTGATCTTCTTCCTGATCATCTTCTTGATATTCGTCGCTCACATTTGGATCTGAAGACTCACCCTGTAATAAAAATGACAACCCTTTTAAGCATATTTATTAAAACCTCTAATTTAAAGACTACGACTAAAAGACTACGACTAGTTTACCTTGTTTAATGCCAACGCGTTTATCTCCTTGTAAAGATTAAGTTCCTCCCGATCTTCGTCACTCACATTTGGAGCTGGATTGGAGCTCGTGTTTTTTGCTGAAGACTCACCCTGCAATAAAAATTGACAACCTTTTTAAGCATATTTATTGAAACCTTTAATTTGTTTTTAAAAACCACGATTAGTTTACCTTGTTTAATGCCAACGCGTTTATCTCCTTGTAAAGATTAAGTTCTTCCTCCCGATCTTCTTCACTCACGTCTGAATCTTGGTTGGAGTTCGTGTTTTTTGCTGAAGAATAACGCTATAATAAAAATTGCCAACCTTTTTAAGCATATACATTGTAACCTTTGTTTTTGAAAAATAAGCTAGTTTACCTTGTTTAATGCCAACGTATTGATCTCCTTGTGTAGATTAAGATTGGTATTACGTACACCACGACGGACTAAAATCTACATAGAAGTTGTAAATATTAAATCCAATTATATGAAATCAAAGCCAATAGCTGAACGTACCGCCGTCTTCTCCTGTAACCATATTTCCCAATCACGTAAAATCCTTATATCCTATCAAAAAAGGGATCAGCACCTTATAATGTAAAAAAACACACCTAATTACATACATCCACCGTTTCTTTCATTATTTTTAGCTTATCACGAAGCTCCTGATTGTCAGCAATATTCGAGGCCAGGTCAAGAGTTTGTCGATATTTATCGGTTGCTTTATTTCGGTGTGCTGGACATATGTATCGAAAAAACGCGATTGGTGTTGGATCGGGGCAGGCTAACATCCAATTTGTATTGATTTCTTGCCGAGTTAACTTGCACGAGGAGGATTTCATTACTTAAGAGTAAAAGGTATAAAAAAAATTATGAGTATTTTGATAAACAAAATAAATTAAACATTCAGCAAAGTGGCAAAGTGGTTTGTTCTTCACATAAGGCCGGCCACCGCTGGATGGTGACTCGCCATTGCTGGCTTCTGACAGTTTCTCTCCGTCACAGGCGCCTTTTGTGTTAAACAAACCCCATAAACTCTGTGCAATGAAATCAGCCGGCCGTCGCTGCATGACGACTCGCAATTGCTTGCTTCCGACAGTTTCTCTCCGTCGCAGGCGCTTCATTCTTGCTAACAAAAGCTACGGCTTATAAAGAGATGAAAATAGCCATCACCACCTGAATTTGATATCTGATATGCATGTAATTTGGCGACTTCAGCTTTTATCGTTATTTCCCACAGTGAAAAGGTTTTTTATAAGTTCTTATCGTTATTTCCCAGTGAAAAGTATTTTTTTTATACCAATGTGAAGTACCCTAGCCAGGGCGAAAACAAAGGTCACCCACCAATAAAAATCCAGGATCTGGTGTAACATAAAATTTTATGAAAACATTAAATCGCCTTCTAATTAAAAAATTTTTCTTGCTATACGATAAGATTCCCAAACACTAAATATATGGAGTTTTCCTTTTATTTGTACTGTTACTATTGTTTGGGAGTAGGGGGCAGGAAAATTACCGTAATTTTAGTAAATTTACGTAAGTTTGTGTAAGTTTCTGTAATCAAAATTACATGTAATTTTTATCATATGAATACTTTTTACAAAAATTTTTATAATGCCGGCATTAAAAATAAATAAAAATTACATAATGATGATGGATTTCTATTAGTTCTGGCTAAACTTTAAGTTACAATGTAATTTACATGAAACGTAGCAAAGTAATTTATGTAATACATCCCTATTTGGGAGAGCTTTAGCATATTTGATGTCAATTTAACCTCAATAGTAAACAAAGAATGAGAATATAACCAAGTAGGGAATATAGTACTGTCGGTATAGTGGCTTGTTCATGTGTATTAGGATCTTATGCGGGATCGGGTGATTGATCAATTTAAGTGATAGTTACTCTTATCGTTATCGTTATGTAAGAAATTTAATTAATCAGATCGATTTAGTAACGTAACTGATGTAATTAATAAGGAGCACTTAATAAGTAAATAATTTAATATAGCAATAACGAATTATGATGATACTTCAAAGTAATAAGGATTTTACCAGATTTTTCAATATAACGATTATTAAGTAGCTTTTTTATGAAGTAATTAAAGTCGTATAAAATGGTTATATGATACAGAATCACATAAATCATATGCCATATGATTGATTAAAACATGTCATATTATTAGTATATAACATATCATATTATTAATATATGATATATCATATGATATTGTGATATAATAATTTATATAAGTCATATAAGTCATATGACATCATCGTCCAACACTGAGAAATCGATTCTTCTATTCAACCATTTAAGACATCGAAGACTAAAGACTTCATTAAAGGCTCGAATACTCTTCTTTTATGCTTAATGAAGTATTAAGAGGTATGATAATCGAACTTTAGATCCTTGAAACTAGTATTTTTGTTTACTAATGCTATTGTTACTTAGTTTCGGTGATCTACGATTTCGTTGCTGAGATGGCCGAAACGGCATATGTGGTGTAACCTACAAGTCAGGCTTAATCGAAGAGGCTTGTTTTATTTGGAGAGTTGATAGTTTATAAATGTATGTATTATTTTTATTATATAATGAAAGCAGGATATTATTATTAGAGGGCAAATTTTATTTAGATCACAAACATTGAATGTCTTCTTCGTAGGGCTTGAAGCCTTTATTATATACTTTCGTTTACATAAGGCATGTTATATAGCACTTATTATCCCTCCTATACTAATTATAATGTTTATGTCAATGATACTGATTATATTGTTTATACAGATTATTATAATTATACACTGTATCCCCTTATTATACTGATATCCATTATCCACCAGATATAGGAATACAGCACTGCCGGTAAACCCATTTTAGGTAGGTGATCGACATAGCCGTTAATTCGTTACTGCACCACACTGATCACCTGCTTTAATGAGCTTCCGGCGCCACCACCTTACCGCTCACAATACTAAAGACTACATATTACAGGATTTTGGTATGATTACACTAATACGGTTACGACCTTCGATGATAAAAGGGTAAGTATTTACATATTTAGAAAATTCTAAATGAAGAGCTTGTACTGATTTTAAGTTTCAACAGTCCGTCCACAATTCTATCGTCATACCTTTCTCACGTTACCATCATAACAATAGTTGTCTTCGATTGTTTTGATTTTTAGATATCAGACTGGATGCTTTGGAAGTCTCATGCCCGACACTTTGTTTTCGCCATGGCTAGGGTACTAACCGATACGGATGTTACGTCATGCCAAACACACTTATCACTTTTAAAATTTCTGCCATCTCCAAGATTATAGGCTGATAACATTTCTGAAATCTGTGAAGGTTAGCTGATAACGTGATGTACGTACTATTTAGAACGTCGGTCAATTTTTATTAAGAAATTTAAATATCGATATCTATTCGTATTATAACATTAATTCCATTGTTACTATCGCTATAAGTAAATAATACTGAAATATTCGAATTTCTACTGTAATATCTAATATACGCTATATAATGTTTGAGCCTATTTTACAAGTTTTTTTTCACGCAGTTTAGCAAATGACTTGACCAAATTTTTTTTTAACCATTGCATTTATACATTAGTTTAGCTGATTATTAGATATATTTAAACTTAATTTATGAACTTTTTTATGGCATTTTTTTCGAACTGGAATGAGCTTAAGAACCTTTATTTTGTGAAAGCACACCTTACATCCTTAAACTGAATCCTACCTTAACTCTGATTCGTGTGCTACTCTTAACACAACTTATTGTTTCAAGAAATTTTTGTATATTCGTTGTAGTTCTGCTTTCATATCTTTTGTATATTTCAAATTCAAATAATTAAGAAATTCGCGTTCAGAGGTTAAAAGGACTTCGACGAATTGAGTTAAAAGAAAAAAATCAAGGTTGATTATGCGTTTTCAATTATATTTAGTGACTATAGTGTTAAATTTATTATTGATTTTGGAAAAGGAAATATTTTAAAAAAATTTATTGTTATGATTAGTGATAATTTTAACTAATGCTGTAATGCATAATGACTTGTTATATAATCGGGTCAATTTTTATGCCGCCATGATAGAGTCAGGCATGCAATTGACTAACCTGTCACAGATTTCAGCGGATACTGTTAAAGGCAAATCCGACCATAGGATCATGAGGAATGGAACGTGTAACGACCCCGAAACGTCCCATGAAAGACCGTTGTACCACGATACCCGCGACTTATTCGTGCCGGTAATACAATCCAAAAAAGGAAATTTGATTTTATAAATAAACAAAGTGCGTAAAACACGTATTTAGGGTTGGAACGTTAACATTAGAGGCTATAGCGATAGACTATCGTTCATTATATGTAAAATTTCGTTTCCGACATTTTTAATTAGTACACCAAGGCTGGTTTAAACACTAGTTTTTGAGTTTTTTTCGCTTTTTCTTCTTTTACACACATTTGGAATTCATGTCAGGCTGATACGGAACGATCAAAATTTGAATTCACTGATTGGTTATTTCCTTTTTAGGAGTTTGTATTACTGGCACAAATAAGTAAAGCCCTTCATTAAGTGACGGTGCTGATCCATTGAAGAAAAAGCCACCTACCCGATTTGGAATCCAACTGTCAAGGTAATATTACCTTAACAGGTAAAGTCTGTGGCTGTGTCAATGTATTGTTATATGTTGGGTTGTGTGTCATTGAGGAAGTGTTAAAAATTCAATAGAAAATGTTAAAGTAATGATGAATAAGTTGTAAGAAAAAGGAAAAAGAGTTAATAAAAAAGAGAAAAATGGTCTATAACAATAAGAAAAAAGGTATCAAAACCATGTTCTAAGTTTTTCCCTTTTTCCTCAAAAATGTTTTATAAAAATGGTTTGAATTTGCTTTTTTGTAAGTAAATAGAATACTTTCCTACTCTCTTGTAATCTAAAAATTATTCTGTAAATACAAACTGAATTACCTTTGCTTTATCTTAAAAATAAATAAAATAAAATTTTTTTTTTTAAAAAACTTAAACAGTTTTGTCAATCATCTTTATTAAGATTCTTGTATATATGTTATACAAAGTTGGCTTAAATTTTGGTTCAACATCTCCCAACTACTTCTATGAGTGTCTAGAAGTGGTCTGTCGCACAGGCCAGATGATTATTCCTGGCCTGAGGTTATATCAAGTTAGCTAGTAAAACCCTGAAAAAAGGGTCTTACATTTCTATTTACAAAACTAAAAACTGAACTGAGTCATGTTTCCTGAATTTGAACCTTGTTTTTCTCTTTTTCTTCTCTCATAGCTCAGTTTTGTTCATCTAAATTTATATTTTTTTCTTCTTTTTGTGTTTCTCTGCTTGAGAGGTTTTGTTTTCTGTTAATTTTTTTTTTTCTAATTGCAGTGTTAATTCCTATTAGTTTTTCTCAATCAGCAATACTATTACATTATTTTTTCTATATATTTTTAAAAAAACCATTTCATGCTGTATTTGTGAAAACTGTTATAAAGATCTTGGTTTTCTTTAGAGATTGTGTAATATCTTGTACAGACTTTTTGGTTTTTCTTGTATTAGACTTTTAATGATTTTGAATCTGCTTGCTGATTTTTCTTCTTTTGAGGTTCCTCACAAAAGCTTTTTGAGATCTTCTTGAATTTCTTTGGGTTTTTTCTGCAAGTACTGTCCATGCCAAATCAATTGACATATTCTCTGTATCCTCCCATCCTTTTTCATGCTCGTTGCATGTTGCTAGGTGGTCTTGATCCTCTTCGTGATCTTTATTGCATAGTATACAATTTGCATTTTTGTATAGGTCTGGATGTTTTTGTGTCAGAATCTTGAGCACTGGTAGTTTTTTGTTTACACACTTAATTAGTGTTGCTAGTTTTCTATTTCTTTTCATATTTGTGCATTTTGTTCTACTTTGACTCTTAATACTTTGGCATAATGTTAACCAGTCATGCTCTTCTTCTTTCGAATTTGGTTCTGTTTTTTGAATTGATGATGTAAATCTTCATTCTGCTCCAACTTTGAATTCTAATACATTTTTGATGAACTTTCTTGTTGAGCTTTCAATCTCTAAATCCTTTCAGCAGAGTGAAACATTTGAAATTAAAGGTAACAACTCTATTACTCTATCAACATTAACTATATTGCCTTCCTTTTTTGCTAATTTGTTTGCTCTATCATTTCATTTGTTACCACTATGTCCCTTTACTTTAACTAAATCTAATTCTAATTTTTTTAAACTAAGTAGTTCTAAAATACTTCTCTTAAGGTTATAATTCTTTTCTTTAATTCAATGTCTGCTTGACTTTAACTTTTTACTTTTATTAAGGCCTGCTATTGCTGCTACACTATTAGTATAAATTTTGACTTTTCTCTTTTTTGATGTTATTAGCAGCACATACCAGATTGCAAGCAACTCTAATTTCATTAATGATGGTCAATTTTATGCTCCAATTGTACCTTCATCGATTACTTTTTCCTCTTTGCTATCTACTTGCACCCAGCCTATTTCTATATGCTTATTCTCTATTGTGTTTTTCATTACTAATTTCTTGAGTGATCTGTCTGTATAGGAAATAAGTACTTCATTGTTTCTTAGTTTGTTTTTTTTGTTTTTTTGAATTAGCTCTTCTTTGAGTACTTGACTAAGTCATTGCTTTTTGATAAACTCTATGTCTAAATCTTCATATACTATTTCTTTGACTGGGCTTTCATATTTGCTTGACTTAATTGACTTATTGCATTCCAATCTTCTTATCATTTCTTGCTCTACCTCGAGTTTGGGTACTTCTTTCTTACTGATGAGTCTTAATAGAGAGCCTTGGATGTCTTCTCTATTACTCTATTTTTTACAAATTTTCTGTTCTCTAATTTGATCCAAGTTGCAACCATTATATTTTTCTAGAAGCTTGCCTGTTTTGTTCTCTTGTAATTTTGTTTTCCAATATTCTGTAAGCACTTTTTTTGGTGTATTTGCAACAATTTCCTAATTACCAAGTTTTCTTCTTTTGCTACTCGTAGTGACTTTAATACAACCCATTCTTTTTTTCTATTATCGTTTGAGCACCTGTTTAAAGTTGTTTGTAATGAGAACTCTTTATTCTCTTCTGGTAACCTGAATTTTGGTTTAAGTTATCTACTACTTTTGTCTTCTAGCATTATTTCTTCAATTCTTTTAAACCATCTTGCTAGTCTACCCTTGCTTGATTTTTTCCTCAATAGTTTAAGCTGTTGCCATGAAATCATTTTATTGCCTTCTTTATTAATAAGTTGATTTACTAAAAATATATTGAGTTTTTTTAATGCTAAGGCTACTTGTACTATAAACTTGTCTTCCAACATATCTGTGATTTTTAGTTTTGTCTCTGTCTTTTTAGTGTCTATATTATTAAATTTAAATGATATTTGTAGTTCTTTAGCTCTGAGCATTAGCTGGCATGCTAAATTGTTTTTCCACAAGTTGCTGCATACTCTTTCTGAGTTTTTCTGTCAGTTTGTTTCTGTTGCACCTAATAGTAGCAACCCCTGATTAATTCTAATTCTTGTTAGTTTCTCCTTAGGATCTGCTGAATTAATTCATATATGCAGACTTGTAATTTGTTTAATTAGCAATTGGTCCTATAGTGCATTGTAGTTGTTCAGATTTCTATGAATAATTACACTATTGCTTGTTGTTCTTGCAATTTCTAACTTGTGCTTAGCTACTCCTATTATAGGCCCTTGTATAGTATCGATTGCTCTTTTCGAGAGTTTTGATACTTGAAGCATATATAGAGATGACCATAACAAAAGGTGGCAATGTGCAAAAAATTTTGATTCTGTAATTTTATAAAAATTATATGCCTATTACTCTAATTCTTTAAGAAATTGTATTTTTAAGAAAAAAAATTTTTTTGACACATTGCTATCTTTTGCTATGAGGTTTCTTATTTATTATTTAATATACTATTATATTGTATAAAAATATACAATAAAATATATAAGGATGTAGTGATCTAGTAAAGTAGTCAGGTTGTCAACTTTCCAAGTAGTAGGTTGGGTGTTCAAATCTTATCAACAGCAAAAATTTGAATAATCATCTATATAATATTCATATTATAGTGACTGTTACTAATGATTAGGTTAGTATACTTGTAATAGCAATTACATCAACATGACTGGCAGGTCATGGGGCATTCGTAAACAAGTTATGTAACATTGTCCTTTAGGACAAGGTCTGTAATTATACAAAAAAATGCAAACTGACAATTGGGCAGTGTAAACACTAGATAAGTTTTTGTAGCTATGTAAATCTATTGAAATTAAGTAACAAGAAGTCTATTTGGGAAGACCTGAGTAGAGAAATAGCTGAATCTTCGATGGTCTTACTATAAAAGCTAGCCTAGAGAAACAAATATTAAGATTGTAGTATCTGGTTATAATGGCTGGATAGGCAAGAACCTTCAGATTGAGAGTCTTAAGAATACTATCAACCAGGCCATCAAAATGAACTAAAGAAAAAGAATATCAGACTGACCTGATATACTGATAAACTGGTCATAGTCTTACATAGGTTATCTGGATTAGGAGTTTGGTAAAAAGGCACATGAAAAGGCAGAGGTATACTAAAGTATTAAGGTTATGCTGTGAAGTAGATGCTGGGCTCTAAGTGAACTCTACAAGAGCATAATAGTTTAATGGTTAAGCTCTGACCACAAGTGTTGGTTCTGCTATAGTAATACCTAGATCAGTTGTAAAAATAAGTACAGAAGACTCTGAAGGGTTTACCTCAAGAATAAAATAGTTCTAAGATTGAAATGATAATCTAGGCATCAGGTATGATCTAGTAAAGTTAACAGATTTGCAGGTTTAGAAGGTTTAAAGTGAAATACCCAAGCAGAGATGTTAGATATAGCAATTAGTAAAAAACCTTTGGGCAAACTTCTTAAATAGATAATATAAAAAAGTTGCATGTATAGCCAATTGTATGCTCTTCCTGGAGTAGTTCACTAAACTACATTTATTATTATTAAATAAAATTAAAGACCTAAGAGGTCACCTTAACACCAAAAAAGAAAAAAAACAATAAAATATATAATATTTTTAATTATTGTTTTTTTTTATTTATTTATTTTTTCTTTTTATTTTTGTCTCTTCTTTTTTATTTTTTTTTACCTTTTTTTATATTATATTTTTGTCTTTACTTTTACTTTTACTTTCATTGTTACTTTTATTCTTATCTTTATTCTTGCCCTTACCTTTATCTTTATCTTTAATTTTATCATTACCTTCACTTTTATCATCATCAACTTGATATACTTGTAGATCTTCTTCTTTTTCTACTTGTATTGATCTACTGGTTCTTACTGTAAATGTTTTTAATCTTGTTGTTAATAGGCCTGCAGTTACTGCAGCTGATATACTTGCTATTGTTGCTACTAGTATTCTTGTTGTTGTTGCTACTAGTATTCTTGCTACTAGTATTTTTGATGTCGTTGTTACTAGTATGCTTGCTGTTATTACTACTAGTATGCTTGCTGTTATTGCTACTGGTGTGCTTGTAATTGTTGCTACTAGTATATTTGTAGTTGTTGCTACTAGTATGCTTGTAATTGTTGTTGTCATAGTTTTTTGAAAACTTAGTAAAAAAGAACTTTTTTCTCTTCTTTCAGTTTCAGTTTTTTTACTTTTTTTATATTATATAACTTTATTATTATTATTGTTATTGTTTCTTTTTTTTTACTGTTTTTTTTTACACTAACTTCTTTTTTATTTTGTTTATACTTGGCTTTTTTTTTTTTTTTTTTTTCTTAGGTCTTCATCTTTAGTAAAATAATTTGCATCAAATTCTAATTCTAAAATATTATAACAGCTTAGTTTATCAGCAGATAGTGTTTATTTAAAACAATTCTATAATGAAGTCACTTTCCTATTCATATAATCTTTTTTTTTTTTTTTAAATATTAAGATGAGTACTTACGATCCAGGATATTATTGATAGTATATTTGGCTAATGGTTGCATTACAACCACAGGGGGCAACCATAGAAAGAGTGTACAACTAGCCACTTGTACAACTTTAGTTATTGTCTAATTTAAGTAGTCCGCCTGAAGGTTCTACACTAGCTGCCATATCTGGAACCCACTTGTAGGTTTCCTATTTAACCATTCTGTTTTCGTATCTACCCACCTACCTCTGCCTACCAATGACCCTGGCCGATGCTGATGAAAATATGCCATGGCTACTAAGTCTTTAAAGCAGTTTCTTTGAACCTTTGATCTTGTACTAAACCTTCCAGAATCTTCTGTATTCTATTCTTACAACTGACCTGGTATTGCTATAGTCAAGACCAACACTAGTGGTTAGGGCATATCATTAAACTGCTTTTGCCCTTGTAAAGTTTACCCCAATCCCAGTACTAACTTCACAACATATCTTTACTACTTTGGTATTCAATTCAAGTTCCACTAAGCTGCCATTCCAGATAGTCCGGAAAGGTAAAGCAAGACTATACCTCTGGTTTACATGTTTGCCAGCATGTACCCTTTTCCTCTAGAATCTGGAAATTTCAGCGGCCTGGTTGGTTCATCCGGTCCCTCCCCAAGGACCAGCACATTTGCCTAGTTTTACAAGTTCTAGCTCTGTTTCACAAGTTTAGTCTTTACAGTAGCACCATCGAAAGTTCGGGTTACCTCTTTACTCAGGTCTTCCAAGTAGGCTTTCATCTCTTTCTATTGGTTCCTATGTTTTACATGGCCACGAGGACTTATTGTAAGTTTGCACCATCTGGTACCGGTTTGCATTCCTTTGTGTAACTACAAACCTTGTCCCAAAGGACAATGTCATGTGACCATTACACAAATGGCATGTGACCTGCCAGTCATGCTGATATGATACAGGTTACAGGTATCTTATCCCAACCAATTGTGAGAGACAGTTAACCATAATACAAGAAGGATTTTCAAATTTTTAGTCAATACTGAGATTTGAACTCTGGACCTGCCACTTGGGGGTTAACAACCTGACCACTTTACTAGGTCACCACACCCCTCCTATTCATATAATCTTTATAGTGCTATTTGTATATTCTATTATTTTTTAATTGAAGAGACTTTACAAATAGATTAATATATTTGTAAAACAATCTTTTTAACTAAATATAATATTTGTATTAGAAAGATAGCTTATTGTTTAATATAACTATAAAAAACATATATTATTAAATTAGTCAATATTATTTTTTTTTATTTTTTATTTTTAACTTAAACAGTCATGCTAGTACTTTATTAAAATTCTTGAAACTAAACAAATTACAAAGAATTTTTCTAATAACTAAGTTCAGCATTACCTGGCTACCTTATTGGTACCTAAGTGCGACTTGTCACACTACCTCAAACAAAGGTAGGCTGCTCATCTAACTGCTGTCCTATAATAGGATACTACTAATCTGATGACATCTTCTTGTAGGGAAGCAAAAAAACAAAAAAAAAAATTTTATATGTAAAAAAAAACAGAGATATAAAGGTAAATAATAAAAGATACAAAACAAGAAATAAAAAGAGGAAGGGAAAAATGAGAAAAAAGAAAAGTGTAAAACTTGCAATTCACAAAAAAATCAGACAGTCATGATTTTAAGCCTGTGTTGGGCGTGAAACTTGCAATTCACAGATATTAGACAATTACAATTATAAGTCTGTGTTGGGTTGTAAAAATTATAAACTATACTAAATAGAAATTACTCTACTATTTTTTTATTTATTTAGATTATTTAAACAAAAAGCCAAAGAAGGAGAAAAAAAACTTTGACTTTATTGTAGAGGGTCAGTATAAGGTACTAGTTAGTTTAAAGGCAGTGTTTAACAGATTTCCAGCAGCTCGAAACATATGTATAGTTATGTTTGTATTGCTATATTATTTTTGATCTATATCGTAAACAATCCTGTTTAGAAAATAAACACTGCTAACTGTTTTGGTAATTTTACATGTCAATCTTTAGAAGAGAATAAACTGAATTGTCCACTTTTACAAAATTTTTCTTGAAGAAAAAGTGAGAGTGCTAGGTGAACCAACTTTTTAGCTTTTGTGAGTTCTTAACCCTTGTAAGTATTCCTTGTAGGTTTTACAGTTGTATAGAACTAATATATTTAACTTTGTTGTTTACTTAATAAAGAACCTTGGCTTTCACCAACTACTTCATCTATAGTCCTAGAATGCTCTTTAAACCATCATCACAAGGCTGCGACTTTTTTTTAACTCTATTTCAATGTCCAACAATGCATGTACAGTACTTTAGAAAGGTTTTCATAAAGTTTAATATATTAACTATATCATTTTCTGTAGTTTGGTTTTTTGGAAAGTTTGGTTCAAATAATCATCGAAAAGAGTTGTATACTTTTGATTAGTCAATATTATACAAATACATAATATTGATTAATTTAATAAAATATAATATACTAACATGCTTTTCATATCATCACTTGTCTATATATATTAATTTTTTTATTTTTTCTTTATCCTCCTTTGTTGACTTATTATTAGTCACCTATACTTTATCAAAATAGTATGCATTATTATCTTTACTCTTTGTTAACAATTCTAAATTATTACATAAATATTGTGCAATTTTTTTATTGCCCAATTTAATTAAATATGTTAATGTCTTGCACTTTTTTTTTCTCTTCTAAATAATAATAATAATAATTTATATAATCTCTAATTTTATATTATACTTATCTTATTTACTTTTGTATTTTTATTCATTTTGAACTGATTGTAAATCTTTAATATTG